ATTCCTGCTTGGTCCTGCACTTCAGTATTCCTCTGGCAGAAGGCTTTAGAGACTGCCTGTGGAGCCATCTGGTCTGTGGATGACAGCTGTCTCCTTTAGCTGTTAACACATTCCAATTCGTTGAACTCTGCATGGAAGCCCAGTCTCAGAGCAAGCTAAGTAATTCTCTACCGCACTATAAATTCCAAGCAAATAGTTCTTCTTGAGTCCTGGTATTCAGTGTTTGTTTCTGTAATTGACTTTAGCATAAAGCTTTCAAAGCATTTTTATTACCTGTATTATCTCCCTATTGCCAGAGGAGGAAAACAGTTTATTTTTACTGAGACAAGGAGCCAACATAACTTACTCTGCCACTCTACAAATGCAGTTTATTTGCTGCTTTGAAATGATGATGGACCATACACTACAGCCTGTTTTTAAAGTGCATACTGTCCCTGACTTCACTGCAAAAGTGGATTAATATCTGCATCAGGAAAATACCACTGGTACATCCCTAGCATTTAGTACGGTTAGTCTTTGGAAAGCCCAAGACTGGATGTGGTAGACTGAAATGCTCTTAACTTTGACAGTTTTCCACGTGGGTCAGAATGTTTTCAGGGAGAGAGAAAAGCAGGGGAAATTGTGCTAAATCTGATGCAAAGGAATCTTTGTTTTTCCATCTGTCAGTCTCATGTTCTCTTTCATCTCCCACCCACCCCCAGCCATGGACTTCCGTGACCAAATTTAGATAAACATTTGCTGCTCCATGATTTGTCTGCCCATGCCTCAAGACCAGAAGTCTCCCCTGGAATCTCCTGGATAATCTCTAGTGCATACAGCCCTCTGGCAGTCATGGCCAAGATCTCTCATGTTTTGAAAATAAAGTCCTTTCCTTCACATGGCCCCTTGGGTCTTGTGGTTGGCAAATTGGTGTCATACCTCCTTTTGCTGCTCTTGGCTCCTTTCATACAGCTGACTGTGTCTTCAAGGGAGAGTTTGCTACCCAAGTATGTTTTAAAAAAAAAATTCTTTCTTACTTTTTTCATAGGGCTGCTTTCTGTCTGGAAGGCCTGAGGACATTGACATAGAAGATGTGCGAGGAAGAGGACAGCACTGCCCTTGTTTGTGACAATGGGTCAGGGCTTTGTAAAGCTGGCTTTGCTGGAGATGATGCTCCAAGAGCTGTTTTCCCTTCCATTGTGGGTCGTCCCAGACACCAGGTGATGATCTGCTTTTGTTATTCTGTACTGGGTTTGCAGAAGGCTTTGTTGTCCCAGACATCCACCTCAGAGACACCTTCTCCTGTGTTTGGGACTAACCCAGCCCTGGGTAATCTGTGCAAAACTATTTCCAGGCAAAAAGTATCCAGCAGTGCATTTACCTGAGTCAAAGCTGGTCTCCTGCCTTTTGAGTGGAATTCTTCTAAAATTTCACTTCTTTATATGGCCTCTTATCCCTGTCCATTATTTTTTGATTACCCAGAGAACTTCAAGAGTAAAGGTAGCTTAAAAAAACCACAAAAGCCCACTATAGAAGCATCTGTAAATTTTGACTGCCCCAAAAGCTGATGATATATGATGTGTGGAAAATTTTTCAGTCAGCTTCCTATTAACCTTCTTGATTTAATTGATTTAACTGTGTCACAAATGGGCACCTGTCAAGAGTTGAATTTATTTAGTTTCAAGGTTTGCATTTTGAATATATGATGCATTTCAGACAATTTTAATAGTTTGCAAAAAATATATATATTATCTGAGCTGCTGTATATAGTTTTTGAGCCAGATCATTATTAGCATGAACTAAAGCAGCTTGGCTAGGTTATGACAAACTAATCATCCTGATTAGTAGAACCACCTAATTGCTTTTATGCTATCTTAAGACCTGGTGAAATAGGAAGAAGTAAACTGGTTGCAAGGTGCCACCATATATATACACAACAAACAGATTTTTAATTCTTCAGGGCAGAAGAAATATGTGCCTAATTGAGGCCTCTGGGCATTAACATAGTTATATACTCAAGTACCAGCTTCTGTAGATAGTGTGAATGGTATTAATTACTGAAAAGAGAGCCATAAAGACACAGTGGAAATGAACACAGCAGATTTCTAGAACCTTTCTTTCCTGATCACATATTGAAAATAGTATTAATGCCCTGAAGGAAGGATCATCCCATCAGAAACTGCAAATCCAACTGGTCTGTTTCTAAGACAGGGCAGTTCAAGGTGCCAAGGTTTGGAGTGTGTAATGACTACGTTCTGCTGAGAGTATTATGCACTCAAAGAATACTACTTTATACTGTTGGGTTTTTTTCCTAGTAATTCTAACTCTAACATAGAGACTATATATCCAGAGTAGTCTCCAGTTTCTGTTCCATGGAGCTTTTCTATACAATCCATGAAAATACCTAAAAAGAAGCGTGTACCAGGGGATATAAATTGTCTATCTCTAATCACAATATTAGTGTGTTAAAAAACACGTATTTTTAAATGTTGAAATTTAAGCTTTGGGAATTATAAAGTGTGTATTACTCCATCCTGACCCTTAGAGCATTTTCAGCTTTCATGCCATTTTATGATAGTTTGGCAGACTGTTCATCCCTAATTAATAACAAACATTTAAATAACCCTATTTTTTCCACTATATCTTGATGAATTTAACATTGTACTTGTGCTATTTACTTAAACTGGGGTGGAAAATGAACTCCAGAGTTTTGAGTAAACTAAACATTTAAATTTGGATTTCAAAGAGTGATGAGTAATTTTACATTCATCATTATTTGTAAACTATTTTGTAACTAGTAACACTGGCAACTGGATTTATTTCACAGCTGATGTTCCACCTACTCTGGATACCTCTTCTTTACAGACTATCTCCTTTTGTGTTATTTTATAGGGTGTGATGGTTGGTATGGGTCAAAAAGACAGCTACGTAGGTGACGAAGCTCAAAGCAAGAGAGGAATCCTGACCTTGAAATACCCCATAGAACATGGTATCATTACAAATTGGGATGACATGGAGAAGGTATTTCAGCTTTGAAAAGTTGATGTGTGCCACTGGTGTTTACCAGTTACCAATTTCTGTTTAGAAGTTCTTGAACCAAATGTTTACAGAGTACCCACTAAATTTTAGATCTAAGTGTCCAGCTATGAAGTATGGTTTAACAAGGAGGTTGTTAAAAAGAACCTATTTGACAAAGGTTAACTTGTATCTAAAGCTGAAGTGTCACTAGGAGTACATCAAAATAGGTATCAGTTTTTTTAGTGCAGTATGATCTATATGTCTTTGCTAATGACTGGAGGGGGAAGAAAGAAGAGGAAAAGAAAAAAAAAAAAAAAAGGAATATCCTCAAGTTACTAGTAATGAAATGGAATTTCAAAAGGCATCTGTTCCTACAATAAATGCAAAGCGTCTATGTAATCCTGATATGAAGAGCACTGTTTACACATATACTTTTAAATGCTTGAAAGATTATCAATATTGCAGTGCAACATATCCATTATACAGCCAATGTTTGGATTAAAGACTTCTAGAACTATGTTTACAGCCATAGTCTCTATGGTTGATATAATTTGCTACATTTCTAATGTATTTCTGTTTAATGTGCTGTGGAAACAGGGCTAATTGGAACAGTAAAGAAATCACAACACACTGAAAGTGTGGAGCCAGACACAACTTACCAATTGTCATAGCATTGTACATTTCTCTTGGAAAGACAGCAAAACGTTTCAGATGCCTAACAAATCAGCCTGCCTTAGAAGCAAACTTTAGAAAGCCTCTGGTGTTTTTAACTTCTTACTGGTATATTGCCCACCTCATTGCAGTTCATCTGACCTCAGAATTTTATAGCTGTTAGGAATGAGTCATAAGGAGGCCATAAACACAGGCTGACTTTCTGCCTCACAAATTATTTACCTTAATTTATTTTTATGAATTCTTGGGCTGGTCCCTATGAACTAAAAGATGAAACTGCCTTCAAGAGACTTCACTATCTATTGAATTCTACTGTGTAGGTCTGCCTGTGCTCTTGAGTTGTTCTGAGACTGTTTAATTTTCAGTCATTGTTGAAATACTGTTGTTGGAATGAAGTACCTTGCTATGTCCCTTTTACTGTATGTATAACATACATCTTCATTAGCTTATGTGTCCTTAAAAGAAGTCACATATTATTAGCAGTAAATCCTGAGGATAGTACAGCCTTCTACAACTACTTTGGTAATCTCTATGAAAGAAGTAAGAACAACTGCATGAGAAACATTCCTTTTGCTTCTCCCATTGTCCTCAGATCTGGCATCACTCCTTCTATAATGAGCTCCGTGTTGCACCTGAAGAACATCCAACTCTACTGACTGAAGCACCACTGAACCCCAAAGCCAATCGAGAGAAAATGACCCAGGTAAGCTCATGTTGATGCTATAGAATAATTCAAACTTTGTGACCTTAACAGGAGGTGCAATTTATATTTCAGTTAGTCATGCCAGCTTGAGTGTTCATCTCTCCTTTTTAAGGAATATGAAAGTGCATAGTGACCACCTGTCATATTTGCATTTTACTTTAGAAAGTCAGTGTATCTGTTTTGAATGTGAGAACTTCAGTCTGTCCAAGCTTAATGTCATCTTCATATTGTTTGATGTCTAGGCCTATTACAAAATTATCTTTATTATGTACATGTGTCCATATTCATACATTATAGATATAGGCCTAGATATAGATATTTCTTTATTTAGATTTTGGATTTTCCTTTCTTGTTATTACTAACCACCAAGAAATATGAAAATCTTGTCTTCTCCCTCTCTTACAATATATTGCTTCAACTGAGCAAAACCCTTTACTCTTAAGGCAATAATTATAATTGCATTTCAGATTATGTTTGAGACCTTCAATGTGCCAGCCATGTATGTAGCTATTCAAGCTGTTCTGTCCCTCTATGCCTCTGGACGTACCACAGGTAAGCTGTTGGAGAAGGTGGCACAGGCATTTGAGATATCTAAATGTGTTGGTGTGAACTTGAGAATGGTGTGTTATTTTCTTAAAGGGATTGTGCTTGATTCTGGAGATGGTGTCACCCACAATGTGCCAATTTATGAAGGCTATGCCTTACCACATGCCATCATGCGTCTGGACCTGGCTGGCCGTGACCTTACAGACTACCTCATGAAAATCCTGACAGAACGTGGCTACTCCTTTGTGACCACTGGTAAGGGCATGCTGTTGACTGAGGAGAGTTGCTTAAAGTGCAACGTTTCTAGTGGCCTTAGAAGGCCTAGCAGCTGTTCTGCAGTTCATTAGACATAAAAAGGAATCCAAAAGAAAGTCCCCTGAAAGACTAGCAGAGAAGTTGTTTTAAAAAATAGGGGGGGG